CCCAACCCAACTTAAATCCCTAATTTTTCACGTTCAGTTCATAACTCTCGTCTCTCTCACTCCACCCCCCTCTCTCGACGGTGGCTTCTCTGGCGCGGCGCTTCTCCGACAGTGTCTTCTCCTTCCTCTTCCTCTCCTTCCTCCCGTCTCTCCCTCCCTCTCGTCTTCTCCCTTCCTCCTCTTCTGCTGCTGCAAATTAGCAACAGCGCCGCTGCGCAACGCTGCCCTAATTCGCTGCGATTCGATGCTGAACGAACAGAGACGAATAGAGATCCTCTTTGTTGCTGCGATTAGATGGCAGTTGTAGTAGTTCAATGGTGTTCTCAGTTCGATGTATTAGGAATTTTTAGGCTGTTTTTATTGGTGGTGGTTGGTGTTATGTAAACGGTGATGGTGGCGATTGTGCAGATTTTGGATCTTTGTTTTGCTGTGGTTGGGCAGTGGCGGTCGTGTTGGCGGGGGTGGTGGTTTTGTGGTTCTAATAAATTTTTGTGGTGGTGGCGGCGGCGATATTGTTGGTGCCGAGATTGTCATGTTTTTGGTTTGTCGTCGATTGATGAGGCTGTGTTGGCGACATTAGTGATGATGGTTGTCGTGAGTTGCCGGCTGTGATAGCAACGGCGTACTAGGGTTAGGACATGTAAGACGGTGGTGGTGGTGGTGGTGATGGTGAGGTGGTGTTGTATAGTCTCTGTGACGAATGTTGTGACTTGAGCCATGTGATATGACCAATGCTATGACTTGAGCCATGTGCTTTAACCAATACTGTGACCTGAGCCATGTGCTGTGATCCAAACGTATTTTCAACAAGGGCGTGAAAGAAAAAGGAAAGTCACTTCGACATGGTGAAGTCATCATTCCACGAAATTTTAAAAGAAAAATGGAAAAATTGGATCTGCTTTCAACAAATCACACACACACACAGCCCCCAGGGCACATGGCGCAGTAGCAAAGGGCTGCCTTAGTGAATGCGGAACTACCGCATGGTCACTGGTTCGATTCCTGGCTCTGCGTTGCGTATCTTGCGACCTATCTCCTCCATAGGGTCCCAGGGCAAGGATGGTGGGGGACGCTCGTGATGGGGCGTTACCCAAAATCACACACACACACATATTCAACCTTGAATAGGTTTCTTAATTAACTTGAGTTACTAGAAGCATAGAATGTATTTCCACCATCACCATATGTAAATAAAATATTTTATTCGGCAACAATTAACAACCCTTTATCGTCCAAAATAGTGTAAAAGATCATCGAGAGCTGATTAATTACCAAAATTTTGAATAGAAAATAGATGGTTGATAAAAAGAAAAAATAAAAATTATCAACTAAAATTGTTGATTTCTTCAACTATATCATAAAATCAATTGATTTTTTATTCATCTCCATAGCATTAAGTAGTAGAATTGCTTGTTCCTGGGAAGAGAATTTCTTTAGAGAGAGGTTAAATTTTCCGACTCGTACTATCGGTTTTCACTTATTGAATAAAATTTTACGGTCAGTGACAATGTCAAAGGTGACCTTAAAGTGATCTTGTAGTTCCTATGGGGTTCAATGACACTTATATTACCATGATTCCATTTTCATTATTTAAGTTGCTCCACTTTCGCTTCTCTCTACTATGCGAACTAACATAATTATCCGAGTAATGCTATTCATTCCCAGTAGGGATAAAAACACAATCTATGTGGCGCTGATGTGGCATTAAATGATAGGTGAAATTAAATAAGTCATTTAATTTCACCTTTCATTTCACCTATCATTTACAGCCACCTAGACTGTGTTTTCATCCCCATTGGGGATGAATAACATTACTCTAATTATCCCTAAGGCCTAAACTCGCTATTTGAATTTTTTAAAGTGCCTTTTAACTTGATTATATGTTCTCTAAGCTTTTGATTTCAGGTTGCCAGTACAGTGCAAAGAAATGAATTGCAACAAAGCACAAGGAGAGTCGTGTATTAAAAATAAGAAGTTAAAAAGTACTTATAATTGATAGCATAAATTTTTTTTTTTATTACATTTTCTAATTATTATTATATTTTATTGATTATGACATTTATGATAAATTATAAGTTGCTTTACAAAAAATCCAAACTAGATTAACTTGAGTTGTTTTAAATACTCTGCGCAAGGTTAAAATCAGTAAAGATGAATTCACAGGTTTCTTTGCTCTACCCAGGACCACAAGGCTGGTGCTAGGAGAACATAGGACACAAAAAATGACATTTCTATGAATTTAGGCGCATATTAGAATTTTCCGGCCAACATTTAAATGAGACAATGTCCATACAGATTCGACCTGATGCTTGAGGTATAAAAGTTCGAGTATGAGACAAGTCGGGTACAGTGTGTAGTGTATAACCAACCCATCCCGATCAATGCACACATTTACCCCCCTCTGATTTGGATTAAAATCAATTTTAGTACACTTTAATAAAAGTTAATGAAATGTGAACGAAAATTTGGAAAAAAATTGTGAATCTCATAAAATATGTGAATGGAAACGAGTTTCAAGAAATAGGAACTAAACAGAGGCTTATTGAATGGTTAGAAATGCCATACAACAAGCATACTTGTGCATGTGTTGTTAAAAAGTTGAAAAAATTTGTGAATCACATTAAAAGTTGTTTGAAAATAAGTTTGAAGAAGAATGAGTTTTAAGAAATTGACGCCAAACAAGAGCTTATTGAATGGTTAGAAATACCACACAAAACGAGAGCACACAGGTACCGAAATGCAAAGCAAGAATGAAATTCCAAGGGAGAGGTGGTGATTCCTACACCGAAAGCATAAAGATTCACCTCAATGCATAGCTTACAGAAAGATCTAATCTATCTATTAAGTTTCCATCATCATATAGTGAAAACCAGATAAACAGCAAATCGAAGACCAATTGATTGAAATAACCGTAAATACTTGGTACATATCTAGACAACAAATAGTGCACAAGCTCGTATGAAAATATTCATTCTGTCACCATTGCATAAACTAGATGGCTAGTTCACAATAGTTTCTATCTGGATAAAGGCTTGAACAAAACTTCAGAAGATTATTGTAGGTATCTTCGGAATTCGCTAGAAATAGACATAAACGATAAAATAAGCAGAACAATTTATAAGCTACATGTGTTACGGCCAACCTTTGATCTTTGATTGCTGCTGCATTGTCACCATTGAACTTCGAATCCAAAAGAGGCCCTTCAATCGAGCTTAACTGAAGAGAACAGGTAGTGCACAAACCAGAATGAAGAAAGGAACCCAACTGCACCCGTTGCAAGCATAATTGCTAGAACCATGAAGAGTGAATACCCGAGGTAGAGGGTTGCAGATACAGGACCACTCAAACTCTTAAGGTCAAATATTAGATAGTTGATGGAGTAAAGAAAGATGTAAATGGCAACAGAACCAGAAGCAAAGAAAGATTTCCACCACCATTTCCAGTCCTCAACACAAAGGTGCATGTAGGTAAGAACAAGCGATACCTCAGCACAAACCACAACCAAAAGGATCATAACAATGAAAAGGAACCCAAACACATAGTATACACCACCCATCCAGATACTGGACATGATGAAGAAGAGCTCAATGAAAAGTGTGCCAAATGGAAGGGTACCGGCCCCAAGGACCAAAAGCCAAGAAGGGTACTTCTGAGGTGGAATTTCTCGGGGAATTTGATTTGTTCGAACTGGGTATTCAATATGAGGAGCCTTTGCTCCAAAGTAACCACCAACAAGGGTAAGGGGAACCGAGATACAAAACCATAGCAAAATAAGTACGACAAACAACGAAAAGGGAATAGCTCCTGTACTGTGACTACCCCATAGCAAGAAATTCAAAGTAGTTAGAATAAGGAAGGCAATACCGGGGAAGAAACAAGCAACTCTCCACGAAACAGAGACCCATCCCTTGTGATCTCCACAGAACATAGTCCTCCAAAGACGAGTAGCAACATAACCGGCTGCAATTCCAAGAATCATGTAGAAAAACAGCATACCGGTAATAAGTGTTCCACGGGAGGCAGGGGACATAAATCCAAGGGCAGCAAACAAAATTGTCACGATTGCCATTCCAAGAATCTG